CTCCGGGGTCTCGCGGACAGCTTCTTGGCAAAGCTCGAGATGGGCATCTGCTTCGAGGGCGGTTGCCAAGTGAAGTAGTCGCAACTGCTGCCATCATCCACAAATTCCATCTTCACCCGGAGGTCGTCAGGTCCTTCAGTGCGGAAGTGCGCCAAGCGACCGCCTGCGGCCAGGCGCCTCTCAGCCAAGATCCGATCTGCATCGCCACCGTCGCCCACAATGATCAGGCAGTGGTCCTTGAACCTCTGGGCGTTGAGCGCCATGAGCGAACCGACTCACATGTCTCGAGCTAGATCGGCTACTGTGGCGTAGCAATGTACTTTTCGACTCGAAAGCTCAGCAGGCAGCGTGTATCAGGACTATCGGGGGTAGGCCTTGGAGGTGTTGCCGTTTTCGATGCCGTCCTTCTCAATGAACGACATGTTCTTGTTCCTAGTAGCGTCCTCTACGACAGGTTCTTGTGTCCAAGGGGCCGATCTGAATGTCACCGATGTCCTTGGGATTCACCTTGGTCCTGGCCACCACCTGGGGACATCGTCCGCACGCTGCTCACGTGATACATTCCGGGAGCCATGGGGGCCATGGGGGTCGGGTGGCAGGTCACGCACCACGGCGACCACGGTGGGCAAGGAGGATTCATCCGAGAGCCTACGACTGGCCTTCTGAGGCGTTGGTTCTTCGGGGCTTTGGGTCTGGAGATTCCCCATCTCCACGTCTCCCACATCAATGTGTTCGTTTCTCCCGACCTCTTTGAAGACCGCCGCCAACAAAAGTTCGGGCGCAGTGTCCTGCAGGTCGAAAAAACAGCCTCGTGAGGAAATGCCACCCCGTTCCTCTGTGAGACTGTTGGGGCTTATCAAACATTACCGTGTTGAGGGGAAGGCAACTCCCCCTCTGTCGCCCTCCCATCAGTGTGAACCCCACCAGCCTCATATCCTGGTTTTTCGATAGATCCCATTCCATGCCATGCTGTTGGCATCCTTCGTTCCCAAAAGAATTTGGCCTGGAAGGAACATCGCATGACCGTCGCGTCCTTGAAGGCTCCGCGCTTGGCCTTGCACAAGGGAGTTCGCACCGCGCAGCAGATCACCACGTCGTCCTGCCCAGCACATCGGCATCAGATCCGCGATGCGAGGTGGTCCGTTGGTTTGCAGTGCATGAGGATGGTTCGTACATAGGCCTTTCTCAAAAGTGATGAGCTCTTCGACCCGACTGTTGCTTGTACAGTAATGGGACAAACCCATTACTGAGAATGTGTGGATTTTTCCAACAGCTTCTCAGCCCTTCCTTTCATGGCTCAGCCCTCCCAGCCCACAATACTAGTAGCTTCTTGTTAGTAGTAAGGCCAGGAGCTACTAGTAGCGTCCTTGCTCGCTGCTTCTCAGCCCTTCCTCCCAGCCCTCTCATCTTTCTCTCCTCAGCCTTCTCGGCGGCACAGTAGCCGGCGGTGGGCTGGGCACCTCGTGCAAACAGATCGAGCCCTTTCGGCCTCAAACGCTTGTCACTCCATCTAAAGCTGCTCAAGGGCAACAAACTCTTCAAGACTCAACTCTCCAACCTAGCAGCCTAGCAATGGTGTTCGCCTATTCTTTCGCCACGTGACCCAGTGGCTGTTCCTGCGCCGCGCTGTCCCTCACGTGGCGAGCGATCCGTGCGACGCGGTCCATGGCGAAGTGAGCGGAGAAGGTCGGAGCTTGGCGACGAGACGGGCTTGGGCGACGAAAGCGGCGGGCTTGGCGATGAGAACGAAGCACGAGCCAACTTGAAACCGGTGCTTGCCAAAGCTACTAGGAACAAGTGCATCGCTACTAGCAACAAGTGCCCTACTAGCAGTAACAAGAAGCTATTAGAAACAAGTGCCACGCTAGTAGTAACAGGTGCCTTACTAGTAGTAACAAGGACGCTACGAACGGGGCTCCTGGCCTTACTAGGAGCAAGGACGCTACTTGTCGGGAAGGTTTTTCAGGAACTCTTCACTTCGGAGACCTTCATTTCGACGTGACACGTCCCCGACCTTGACTCAGCTTTACCAAAACTGCCGATGTGGCCATGTGCCATTAGCCACAAAGGCCATGCGTCCTTGCTCCTAGTAGCGATGCCAGGAGCCCCTAGTAGCTTCTTGTTACTACTAGTAAGGCCAGGAGCCCCTAGTAGCTTCTTGTTAGTACTAGTAAGGCCAGGAGCCCCTAGTAGCTTCTTGTTACTACTAGTAAGGCCAGGAGCCCCTAGTAGCTTCTTGTTACTACTAGTAAGGCCAGGAGCCCCTAGTAGCTTCTTGTTACTACTAGTAAGGCTGGCCATTAGGCTGGCCGCCCGGAGCCGTCTTCATCGGTGTCCCTTTTTCGCTCGCTCAGCGGAGTCGCCGGTGAGCGTCGGACGCATTCGGCGGGTGGGTTCTGGTGACCAGGCCGAATGGACTGGAGCCACGGTGAAGACGATGCGTTCTTTGGAGTTGGTGGATGTTCTTTTTTTGGGGTAACAAGGTTTGCTACTAGGAACAAGTGCATCGCTTCTAGTAACAAGTGCCTTACTAGTAACAAGAAGCTACTAGTATTTTTGGAGAGCTCGTCACTGTGAGCGTGCACCTTTTTAAGCATTTCAAGCTGCCAAATCTTGCTGTGGAAAGTTTTCAGCTCATACCAAAGCCAAAACTTCTCATGTGGACGAGCATTATTTCTTATTCATTTCTAAATAGTTATTGACTCAATTCTATTTTAATTCTATGAATTTTGACTTAAATACAATTCAACTAAATTCTAAATCAATATTTATTCTAATTGAATTTATTTCATTTCTATGTTTATTGATAATAATATTGGATCTCAATGAATTTTAAATTGAATTTGTTTTGAATATGTAATAGACTTCTATTTCAATTCTAAATTGAACCTAATTACATTCTAAATTAAGTTTATGTATTATTCTAAATTAAGTTTATGTCTTTTTAAAATTCATTATAATCAAATTAGAGGTCAATTTTATTCTAATTTAGTTTTGTTGTAATTGTAATTATCTTTGATTATTCTGGATCTAATATTAAATTCCAAATTGAATTTATATGTGAATTTGCAATATATTTTTATGTCCAATCTAATTCTAAATTGAATGTATTTGAAATTCTATTTATTGGAATTCAAAGTGAATTTGCAATTTTTATTAAAGTGAACTATTTATAACATAATTGTATATCAATATTGCAATATTGTTCTATTAATTAATTCCTAGGTTAAATATCTTTAATTCAATTCTACCTTAGGTCTAGATCAATTTCAATTTGAATAATGGATTTTGGTTTAATATTATTCATTCAATTCTAATTTAATTCCAATCTATTTCTCATTTAATTCTATTTCATTTTGTTTTGCATTAAACATTGTAATTGTGTTTATTCCAATTTCCAATTGATTTGTTACAGTAATGATTTCTAATGTTAACGTCTTTATATAACTTAAATTCAATTGATCTATATATCTAATTTTCTAACTTGATTCCAATTCAATGCAAATGGAATTCTAATTGAGTTTTGCTTCCATCCTAGAGAATGAATATTATTGGTGGTATGAATATATTTCATTAAAGAAAGAATATACTTCCATATTGGAAAAATTTCATAAAAATCTTTTATGTTCAAAGCAAGATCAATTCCCTGGAAATAAATGTTTTATTGTATTTAAAGATTTTGTCCATACATTGGTCAGCATATTTATCATGTGGTTGAGTGTTTGTTTAATCACTGATTGGTGGAAGTTGATTACAGTCACCGGCTCCTATGATGAGTTTATTGTGTTTATGTTGTTCAGTAGAGTTTAGAAACTTACCATAGATATATAGATTGGTCATATAGACTTCATCAAAAAAATATAACATCAAATTCACGATGGTCAAACTCTGGTAGTTCATCCCCCTTATGAACTGGGATTCTAAAGAACATGTTATAGGTTGTTGAATCACCTTCTATTTCTTGACTTAACCTATTATGAGGCACCACGAATAAAACATTTTTACCCATCTTCTTAAAATACTGTCCTATATATGACTTGCCTGATCCCGCAAATTTTGCTCTGATCATACATGGGTTTAATTCTTCAACTTGCTTACATATTGCTTTGGTGTCCCACTCATCCACCACATCTATTGTTTCATTTTCGATTTTTGGAATTTCAATTAAAATGTTATGAATAAACGTGTATTTATTAGTTGGAAAGTTAATTGATTTGTTTGTCATCCTCCAGTTGCCTATACCTGCTTCAAAACTCAATATTCCGTCCCTCACAGCCATGGGCTCGACAGATAGCAGAGAAGCAAATTGAACGATAAAAGGAATACTATGAGCCAGACAGGATGGGCATAGGAATTTTGTGAAATTGCAAAACTAAAAAAAGAGACAAAAAAACAAACTCATGGCTTGCAGACGGTCTTGGGTCCAAAGGTTTTCTTTTTGGTTTTCCTGAGTGCAGTGTCCAAAACCTGTTGAAAAAACAAAAAAAATAAAAAACAGACTCATGGATTGCAGAGGGTCTTGGGTTGGTTGGTTTGTTTTTTTTGTTTTTTTTTTTGTTTTTTTTGGTTCTTTTTTTTTTAATTTGTTTTGTTTTTTTGTTTTTTTTGTTTTTTGGGTTTTTTGGTTTTTTGGTTATGTGACACTGAAGACACTGAAGCATTTAGTAGAATACACTCACTGAAATATAGTGTTTTTGCACTAGTCTACTAGATATGCAAGAATACAGTGAAAGTTTTAGCGCACGCTGGTGGTAACGTGTTCTGTATTTTTGTTGGTGAGTATTTTCATGTGTATTTACATATCGACTTTTACTGCAAGGATCGATCCGTCAGGAAATCGAGTTGGAAAAGAGTGGAGCACCAGTCAAAAGCGAAATGGAGCGCCTCTAAAGGCAGCTTGAAACGGTCGGCCAAGGCAAAACAGCACGAAGCATCCGAGCTCGGGTTCCTTCGTGCCGGTTTGGCCGCTGATCCGCCATCCGATGGATCTAATCCACCGCTCACTCCAACTCAATCACGGAGGCTGCACCCATGCCACTGCCCAGGCACATGGAGGTCACACCATACCTCAACACTGTGCCGATGCGCTTGCGCAAGCTTGCACATGGAACATCAATGAAAACCTCCACTCTCCCTCCCCTCACTCCTACGGTGTGAACAAGTTCTGCATCTGAAGGACCTGTGTCCGACGCCTTGGACGTGCTGCCCACCTCACCTTCTCAGCGACGGCCTCTCCAACCTAATAGCAAGACCCCCCAACAAAACACCATCTGCTTCCGTTTCGAGCACGTCTGCCCACACCGAGCGGCTTCTTGTTCTGTCGCTTCAGCTCCGGCAGCAGCGTGGCGATCTGCCGGGCACCGGTGGCGCCCAGCGGATGGCCCAGGGCGATGGCGCCACCCTTGGGGTTCACCTGGCGCCACAGAGTGGAGCAGCTGGCCAGAGATTGAAGGTGGTTTGGTCGATTTTCGCAAGATCGAAAGTGTCCAAACACACACGCCATGAGATCGATTTGAAGAGATGTGTCTACATCGTGTCTATGACAGAAAGACAGTAGATGTGTCCAAAACACAACGCCATTGGGGAAGAGCGAGCCAACCCGCCGAACGCCCCCGGCGTCTGGGGATCCGCTTCGCGTTGATCCCACCTTCTCCATGGGGATCTTCAAGTGGTCAATGGACCTAAGAGATCGACCGAAGGCGCGACCGCGATCGATGCGTTGGTCAAGCAAAAAAAGGCAGCTCCAGTGGATGCCAATGGGCTGCAAAAGAACATCACAATATCTATAATCTCTATATCATATCTGTCATATCTAATAATCGAATTAATATCATGCATATCTGTAGTTACCTTCAACTGTTCGCAGTGAAGAACTTATGGAATTGTAGTCACGCAGCGTCACGCCATGTTTTTTTGGTCCGCCCACAGGCTATCCCAGTGTCCACCGTGCTCTTCACCCGTCCTTTGCCGTCCTCCGAGGCGCATGGTCGCCTGGGACGCGAAAGCCTCGTTGATCTCGTAGGCGTCGATGTCCTCGACCTTCAAACCAGCCTGACGGACAGCTAAAGAGCGCACCAAGGGGGAGACAGTCCAAACCGGGGGAGGCCTGGGGGAAAGAGCACTCGAGCCCCTCCATTGGAATGATTTGATATGTTTTGAACCACAAGAAATAGGAGAAGAACTTGCTTGACATTTCTTGCAATTCCTTGGATGACTTTGGACCTTTTAACTTCACAGATGTTTCATCGTGCCTTCTCAAGTGCAGGAGGAATGGCGAAGGCAGGGCCAATGCCCATGAGCTTGGGATCCACGCCCACCTCAGAAGATCAAGGGCAACAAATGACCGATCTGTCGACAGATCGCGAAATGACCGAATTCTTCCGTCCTCCTTTCAGAACGCAACTCCAGGTCTAAAAGAGACTACTCCAAGTACCAACGATTCCAAGTCAGAACCTTCGACCTTCGCTCCCTCTTCGTCCTTCGTCTTTTGCGGGGTTCCCCGGCGCAGGCGAAGGAGCGGAAGCGCGCCACGATGGGCAAACCCAACTTCTTGGCCGCGGAGCGCCTCGATTTTTAGTCGACGAACGGTCCGTGATGTTCGGCCGTCGATGTCTGTGATGAGTTTCCAAAAAGAAGAGAGTGGACAACAATGAGTTTGGAAGAGAAAATCTGCGCTATCTCCCATAGAGTGACATCTATCCCAAGCTGCCCAAACCAGATGTCACTTCATCACCATCGAAGCTCCGTGGGTTGAGTTCTGTTCCGGAGCGGCTTACCTGCCTGGCCAAGAGCACCATGGCGGCGCCATCGGTCACCTGGCTGCTGTTCCCTGCGGTGGTGCTGCCGCCCGCCTTGAAGGCCTTGGTCACAAATGCGACACGCAGAGAAGGCCACGTCACAGAGGAAAAAAAACAACAAGATGGAGCCCACGAACCCGAATGCAAACACGTTCAAAAAGCTACATATGTCCAAATGACACTCTTGTAGGACACTCTTGTGGGACACTCTTGTGGGTCACTCTTGTAGGAAACTCTTGTGGGACACTCTTACGGGACACTCTTGTGGGACACTCTTGTGGGACACTGTTGCGGGACACTCTTGTGGGACACTCTAGTAGGACACTCTTGTGGGACACTCTTGTGGGACACTCCTGTGGGACACTCCTGTGGGACACTCATTTGGGACACTCTTGTGGGACACTCTTGCGGGACACTCTTGTGGGACACTCTTGTGGGACACTCTTGTGAGACACTCTTGCGGGACACTCTTGTGGGACACTCCTGTGGGACACTCATTTGGGACACTCTTGTGGGACACTCTTGTGGGAGATTGTGGGACACTCTTGTGGGACACTCTTGTGGGACACTCTTGTAGGACACTCTTGTGGGACACTCTTGTAGGACACTCTTGTGGGACACTCTTGTAGGGCACTCTTGTGGGAAAGTCTTGTGGGACACTCTTGTGGGACACTCCTGTAGGACACTCTTGTGGGATACTCTTGTGGGACACTCTTGTGGGACACTCCTGTAGGACACTCTTGTGGGATACTCTTGTGGGACACTCTTGTGGGACACACTCTTGTGGGACACTGTTGCGGGACACTCTTGTGGGACACTCTTAAGGGACACTCTTGTGAGACACTCTTGCGGGACACTGTTGCGGGACACTCTTGTGGGACACTCCTGTGGGACACTCATTTGGGTGGGACATTCTTGTGGGACACTCTTAAGGGGCACTCTTGTGAGACACTCTTGCGGGACACTGTTACGGGACACTCTTGTGGGACACTCCTGTGGGACACTCATTTGGGAGACTCTTGCGGGACACTCTTGTGGGACACTCTTGTAGGACACTCTTGTGGGACACTCTTGTGGGACACTCTTATAGGACACTCTTGTAGGAAACCCTTGTGGGATACTCTTGTAGGACACTCTTGTGGGACACTCTTGTAGGACACTCTTGTGGG